TATAAAAAAAATATTATCACAAGCCAGCCAGCCAACAGACTTGTTGGAAATAATCAGTCGGATGTCTCGTCTTCCCGTAGTCACGGATTCGAACTTCGCATGTCACCGACTTACAACTACCTAACGAAAATTTATTGCACTTCTTATATTGTCCGTTAAATAGTGATAAAATATAGATGTAATAAACAAAAGTATTAAAACAATCACATACTACTATTATGAAATATTACTGTTTGTTACCTTTTTCACTACAAACCCTAATGAAAGAGGTGAACATAGATTTTATCACAAGGACTATGTATATAAATATAAAAAAGTTATTTTTACAATGTCGAACTGAAATACTATTCGTATTAGGAATTTTCCTATATATTATGTATACATATATATGTACACCGCGTAATTCATGACGGTTGACTTCATTTATCAGTCTTCACATGACTTAGCGGTTGCGAAATCATGGCCGCCAGAGGGCACCTGACGATGTGACTTGCATTGCTTGCCTATTATTTAAAATAAGCACCGTTTATATTGCACCAAGTCCATGACTGTATTATATATACTTATTGCAATACAATATATGATATTGTTGCATGCTGTCACCCAGTTGTATTTAGATTTGACAATGCTCGACAACTATACAGACAATGAGTTGTGAGAAAATCAGTATGCGGATAAACACTTTGGATTGAGAAGAACGATAAATTAGGTTTATAAGTGACTTACTTATTACATTGTATATATGGAAGTATATATCTATTATTATATTTACTCCGAAACGCTCCGCTTTGAAGTCTGTTATTATACCATACTGAACAAGACTTAAAAGTAATACACTTAAGACTGTATTTTTGTATATAACTTAAGTAGTGGGTAGTATTTACTATTTCTTATATGAATAATAGTATCATTAAAGTTAAGCACTAATGTGAACAAAAAATATTGCTCTATTTTAGGTATATAACTCAAATTATAACAGAATATATTATAATCATCTCAACTCTATATAGATATTAATGAAAAAGACCTAATATATCGATTTCACTGAAGGAAATAAAACTACATGCATATTATTGATTGGAAACTTTCATTTATATGACACAATAGTATATTATTATACAGCAATCATAGATATCGATTAATATTCAGTTCAATACACCAATATTACTTGCCAAATAGGCAATATTTATATTGGATTGGACAATAGCATAACTTGTCACGCAAAACATATAACAAAATAAATGAAGCAGTGTGGATATGAAAAGAAATAAGATGTTGGAGTTCTACATTTAAAACCTTTTATTTAAAAAAAAAACTAGTAAATCTATACAATTTCAATCGGGCTGTCAAGAAGGACGATCGCCATTCATTCCTTAATTCTTATCGATACCTAATCATTCCAATCCTATTAGCCCCGCCATTTACAAAGTCCTACATAAATATGTATAATACATTAATTATTTCATTACTTATAAGATATACCTTAAATGATTGCAACTTTTATTATTTTAGTAGTATATTAAAATGTATATATATATGTAATATAGTATATTAAAAATATAAACAAATTAAATTCGAAAACAAATTTTTTTTTGTCACATTCACAAACAAACAAATTATTATTATTAAACATAATATTATATTAGTTCTAACTTTTCAATTAAAAGTTAAGTGTATTTAAGTGTGAGATATATATACATTAGACTGTATAACCTATAAATATCTCACTTACTTACTTTACTTAAATGAAATGTTGTAATTAAAATATTACTTCCTAGTAACAATTGGCTCAAGATCCATACTATATATAAGAAAGTAATTTTGTTTAACTGTCTTCCCAGTTGTTTCTCTTTTACAGCTGAACAAATTTTAATTCAATTTGGTATGAAAATAGAACATTGGTTATCTTATATACCAAAAAACTGATCCAATTGCTGATCCAATGGCAAATAAAGGCGCCATACCGTTGATGTCCAAAAATATTCACATATGTATGTATATTGTTGACAGTTTTACAGGAAACCTGCTACAACGTTCAAACTTAGGTACTTTATACTTTATTTTGTACATTCTTGTATTACAATAATAAACTGAACATGGCGTCACTGTATAACTTAAATTTTTATTTTTATTATACTGTATAATCCATGTACTGGACTAAAGCAATGTTAGTATGAAACGTATAACCAATATTTCTCAACGCCACACGACTTTATTTCGCCAATTTCCACCACAAAATTGTGGTGCTGCGACAGCACTTAGCAGCAATGTCGTTTTATTGCGTTATTTTGTTACTATTGCTTAGTGTTTTTTCGATTGTGTTGAAATTTAATTGTACCTATATCCTTATGAAAATAGAGGGTATACAATAATAGGTAAAAAATATTTTAATTTATGATATGATTTGACTTGCAAATTTTCAAGTGAGATGTAACAGAATTACAAAAACTACTGTATAACTAAATGTTTCTTGTAATTATATAATATAAAATTCTAAACAAAAACTATGAAATATAATTTAAAAAAATAACAGTTAAGTGATATTATCACTTAACTGGTTTTTATATTCCTAAAAATTACGACTTTATAATATTTATATTCCAATATGGACTTCACTCTCTCTATCAAATATTTATTTATTGAAATAGCTTTTTTCACCAAATAAAATGTGTGTATAAAAGGCGAATACGGTACCGGAATACTCTATTCTCTAGCAGTCAACCATTAGGATGAAACAATAATTCACGAATGGTATACTTTAAACCCAATGTTATAGAAAGCAGACCTACCGCCGACTTTCATAGAAATAGAAACAATCTTTTTCAAAATAAACTTAATATAAATACTTTTGAATTTATTATTTATTTATTTATTATATATTTTTTTTTATTCTACTACTCATTTGAAACACAAACTCACAAGAAGAATGAGCAAGAAATTTAAGTGTTGCTCTTTTTAATAAATATTAGTAAATACACATTAACAACGATTAGGTGCGCAACAATCAACATATACATATTAATCTAGTTTGTTATCAGTATTTTCCATTTCCGAAGAATTAGTTTATATATATACCAGTACTGTCCTGTGCTCATATTAATGTGATTTATGATAATGATAAACAATATACATCGATCATCCAAACAAAGGCATAACACAAGAACTAGAGCCGAGCCAATGTAGAACAAATAGTTCATTTCGTGAACTGAATCGTAACCTCAATTAGGCAAGCATCGTGCGTACCTTTAACTTGCTAAAGAACTGATAAAAACTAGCAAATCGGGCTTCGTGTCTATTGTTATCGAGTTCAATAATTCTCTGATTTTACTGAAACACAAAAATTAGTAAAGAAATAAAATTTATCTACGTAACCATACAAAAAGAGTTATTTTCAAAACGAAATTTTAAGGCTGTAATGAAATATGAAAATATTCTTATTTATATATAATACTGTGTTGTAATGACTGTAATCCCAACTGTATATACCAGGGTAGTCATAGCATTATCAACTATCAATATCTTGGTGATCGAAGCATTATTATACTCACTGGATGTAGTTGAATCCAAAATAGAAGCAGGCAAACATAGCAGTATCTCTAGACTTAATTTGATTTATTGTTACTGTTTCCCCATCCTAGAGTCAGCTAGAAATATAAATTGACAGACAATTATTATTAGTATCGGTAGGATTTGAGGACTTGACTTACATAGAGTTGAGTTACCAGTACGATGCTCTCTATGACGTATGTTATTATAGTATACATATGTGTATGTTGTATAATGTAAATATTATAACATGTATTTGTAAATCTCAAAATTCACTGCTATTTTTCAACACCATTCAAATATTGAAAAATAGTAGTGTAGTCGTATATTAAAAGGACTAATACATGCGAAAATACCTCATCTCCACACTAATCTACACGACGCTATTTACGACTTATATATAAAATAACCTATGATAGTTGTATCGTATTGTGACTGACTCAGTTGAACTTCGAGTTCCTACAGCAACACGAACTAATACAGATCTGATTGTAGTCAGAGCGCAACGACGTGCTCTAATGCAAGATTAAAATAGTTGGAGATAATTGTGATGTCGAAGAAAACAAATTGTTCTCGTACAACTACGATACAAATTATGGTGATTTATTTTGGCCGAGTTTGTGTCCCAGTGATTCAAAGTTTGCAACTTTTTTTATTTGAATTATAATTATGTTAGTCTAAATTTGTTTTAAATAAAAATGAATTTGGCGTAATCATGTTTTAACAACAAATTCACCATAGTTACATATACCACTAAGTAATGTGTACCCATTATTCGCGAATACTCAAATTGGTACGTGTACAAACTTAGATATTGTGTACATTTTTTCCATTAATGATTTTATATGCACAAAAGAACTTTATTTTCAGTAATATTGCTGAGTTTATTCTAATTGAATTATATTTAATAAGTGAATTATTTTAAAGTATAATAGATAGAATAAATATATTAAATTATAATAGATGCACATATTTTTAATTATATATTAATCACTTAAGAGGCTACTTATAAAGTAGATAATAATAAAGTTAGAAATATTTTTATAGTAATTTTATTTTCAATTTTTTTTTGGGTGTGGTTTTATGATTTCAATATTTTATATTTTAATTGTTTTTCTGCATTGCATATTTATGACGAAATACGTATTTTACACAACACTTACAGCACAATTAATAAATATCTACAATTAAACCGGGTAACTGCCTATATCGATACACGCTCTAATTGCTGTACTAAAGTCTGATTACAAATTAATCTGTTATCATGCAATCACGCCACATTGAATCGATCAAGAAAAACTTTTCACATATCACTACTGTTACTACTTTTCTATCCTTAACCTTAATAATGCCTGCGCATACTACGCATTGTGACCGCAAATCTTTCCGATTTACGCGGTAAGGAGTCCGCCCGCGGTTTCGGTTTTACTTTTAGGCGAGCGCGCGCGCAAGCACGCACAACTCTTCCGTTCAATCGCTCAGTGTAACAACGACACTGGTCAGGTATAGAACGAACTTTGAAACCGAGAACTAGTTACGCGACTTGTGACTGTGAACTTACGAACTCTGTGCTTTGTAGTGATTGTGTTTTGTTTAACATTTGTCGCGGTAAGTATTCATATAATATCGAGTTTCTACTCTCTCTTGAGGCGACAAAGAAAGCGGGCTTTAGATGGAGGGTTACACGTTGATAAATGATTTTCGCGCTCTGCAATTTATGATGAATATTTTATTAGATGCTAAAATGATTAATGATCGTTTAGTGAAATCAAATAGGCCTGTCAAATTGTGTATTAACCACATATACTTACTATGCTGTTAAGGAATATTCTTATAGATACATGTTAAATATTCAATAGACTGGTTTTAGTAGGGACATGAATTTTGACGGAGAAAGTTGTTATTGTTTTTTTAAGTACATAAGTGATTCAACATGGCTATCATAGAGTTAGAACATACAACTACTAGAATAAGTAAATAACAACTCATGTTACTTTTTTACTTTACAGTACTTTTACCTTTAAATATTTACCCTGAGACTTCGTCTGCGTTTCCACGTTAAATGCAGTCAATCGACTGCGTTAATTAATTTATTAATTTTAGGTGATTAACGGTGTAAATTTATGTCACTAATCATTAACATGAATGAAAAATGTATTAATAACTTTATTATTATTATAATATATAAAATAGAGTAATATACAAAATATATTAATAACTATTATTATTATTAATGACTAATAATAATAATAAAGTTATTAATACATTTTGTATATTGCTCTATTTTTAATATTTATTAAGTTTTATATAACCAACAGATAATAAATAATCAAGTATAATAATTTGTACATATATAATATTAATAAAATAAATAAAATATTGTTCTAAATAATATAATATATGTATGCTAATGTTCTTAAAATAAGATACTATAAGTTTTAAAATAAAATTATAAAATATTTTCTTACAGCTAAAGAATAAAAAATAATAATTCATTACACTAGATGTAATCGAAATAATACAAATATAATTTTTTTCTTTAAATAATTATAGAAAGCGATAATCCATAATTTACTAATAATCAATTTATTTGCATTCAGTGGTTCAAATTACTGTGTACCAATTTGCAACAATTGGTGGTTTATGGATTTTTTTCTCAGTGTCGTAACTCCGATACGGTTCGTGCAAAATGTAACAGCGTTAGGCCACAGCTGCTAATTCAACGGAAAGCCTATTTGCATATTTCACGTTCGATCGATTTTCAGCTGAAAACATTACGATTCATATGATTTAATGAGTGCTACTTTAGCAATATCGAGAATGGCATGTGATACAATTGTGCTGTATTCCGCGATCTGCTTTACACTACATTACAGTCCGTCATACATCATTGTATTAGCAATAGGTATTATGTCCATTTTATTTAAGTAGATTAAAATTCAAACTCCTTAAGTTTTTAGTATTTTAATTCATAATATGTCTGTTTTAAAATATACCACAAAAGAACAGTTAAATTAAATATATTTTTAACATAGTTCATTATATTTAAACACTGAAGTTTTAATATATTTTACGTAATATATAAAAAGTAATATTATGAAAATTAAATTAAAAACTTAACTAATTTTATTTATTCTTTTCACTAGTAACTTTACGGGATATATAGAATGTCTCTAATTTAATTAAATAGTCAATAACATCATACGATTTATAATCCTATATAGGTATGTCGTGGGTACGTCCAAGATTATTTATAGGACACAAGACACGTATTCACTAATATCACTTTAATTGATTTAAAATAGTAGTAATTTTTTTACTCATTGAAGGGTACTGCTTCAAATATAAATATATTATGGTGGGAATTGGTGGATATAAGAGTAGGCTTAAAATTTGTGCGGCAATTTCAAACAGCTAAAGTTTTATATTTTATTATTTTATGTTTCGCAAAGAAATATAAATTATACGTGCATATCACGATATATTAATATGTTAAAAATATAAGTACTCAATTGTAGTAAATTGGCCTTATAAATACCGCGTTTTCTCTCGCCGTAAGTATCCCACGACGTAAAGGTGCGATCATCATGACCTACAAAACGTCGGAACACTCTCACTGTCGTGGAGCGCGGCCGAACGCGAAGAAGAGCGTTATGCAAGTATGACCAATTACAGATTTTGCTATGAAATTTACATCTGCTGTCACAGTTAACTTAATTTAGATTTACTCGGCTCGGAATAACAATTGAGAGCTACTTCTTTACTATGACGCATTAATTCTTCACACTTACATAAACAGATTCCTGTTCGCAATATGAATTCACTTTTGTCATAAATTGCAAAAGACATACTAGTGTTATAAATGTGTCTGTCTGTTTATTACCTTTTCTCGCGACTGAACAGCTCAACAGATTTTAATAAAATTTGACACGAAGATAGATTGTACCAGAGGAATAACTATCTGTTATCTTAATAAATAATTTGAAAGGGAATGAAATTTGCTCCTGACGAAGAAATTAGTATCATTTAAAAAAATATTAGTATATTTTGTCCTAAAAATAGTAAACAAAGCGGAAAGAACTAATAAATAAAACATAATAAAAATTAACATCTTAAATCTTACGAGAAACTTTACAATCCATTCTAAACTAAACAATAATAACATCGTATAGTAATAACAACATTAGTTTTTTACACGGAAAAGTTATTGAATAAATACAAACCTTAATAGATGTTTAATAATTTTTTTTATTGTTTTTAAGCATTATGGTGAATAATTTGTTTGTTATAATTATATATATACGGACATTTATTTGTTATACAAACATACAATTTGCAAATTTATTATATATGTACATTATTGTCTAGAAGTCCCGCTTAGATAGGAATGTATACTAGCATAGAAAAAGTATTATATGAGTAATGCTTTGTCTATGGTACTAATTACAAATATAATATAATAGCCCTATCTTTTCCAAAAGGCTTCCTATAGAATAATATTTTTCATTCAATTTCTTAAATATCTTCAAGAAAACTTAACGCTTGGACAAAGTGATATATAATAGGTTAATCATATTTAATACAAATTGTACACTGAGTCGAGTATAAGAAAATTATGAGACATCGAACATTTCTGTTTTGTTTAACCTCATGCGTGCTATACCGGAAAATTTCAATTATAAATAACTAGGGACTCGGCTTCACATGATTTATATAAATCTTTTAGGAATTCTATAACAAAACAAAAGAAACTATTAGGTAATATAAAAAATACAGATACGGCGGTGTACTTCCTGTTATATGTATATATTTTATTTACATAATATTAATCAATCTATCTAGTTATTTAGAATAGAATATCATATAATTTTTTAAAAAAACTTATATTTAATTCTAAGAATAATCTAGTAGCAAGGTGTTTAACTCACAAAGTATGTCCATAGTCGATTTTCATGAAATATAACAGGAAAGCCTCGATTTCTACCACTATTCATTATGTACATCTACGTAATAGATTCAATAACAGTATACTGAGAACAAAAGAGAAATATGTTATAAAACTAATATTTTTTTACAAGCAGAACGGCATTGCAATTTGTTTAATTACACTCTATGAATATTTCATACACGAATTATTACAAAGGCCAGCGATGAAGGTAAATGCAGTAATTGTTTGTATTTTTTTTTATTTATTTCTAAAACGTGATATAAAATTATGTTAGTAAAAACAATATTCTATAGAAATAGTTCGCATCGGTTGATTATAATGTACTGTAAATTTCAATTTACAATAATTGCCTATCAAATTTTACAACAATTCGAATTTTAATTAAGAGCCGGGATAACAAAATTTAGTATTAGAATTTTAATTGTTTATAGATATAACCATAAGCACTATCAAATATCTGCAAAGTTTTATTCCAATTCTATCTAATGTTTTTTTAAGTGTACATTAAAATATTGTATTTATGCCTATACAACTCTCTGTCATTACCATTGCCCACTAACTACCACCTCTGTAACAGGGTTAGGTTCGCTGGAAGAAATCTTTTCAGAGAGAAACTCGCGCTTGCTCATATATTTGTATAACATAGTTATTTATTTATATATAATGTTACAAATACAATAACGTGTATCAGTACCAAAGTAAGCAATGACGTAAGCAATTAAAATAATCTGGAAGAAAAGTTTTGGTTTTTATATAGAGTTGATATTCAACTTATTCCTTTTATTTTCTTGTATACTTTTATGTTCATTCTTGTACGTTGCCATCCACTCGGCTAGATACTATCTACTTGTCTAAGTTATGATGTAGCTTTCTGTCTATCTGACTAAATAACTCTAATATTCTACAAAGACATGTCGTGTAAGCTTGAACTTCCGTAGAATAAACACGTTGCCACGGAATCATACTGCTGTTGTCTGTCAAAATGCTTTATTAGACTGTAATGTATACAAATAAAATTATAAAATTCTTAATAATAAAAAATACAATATATGAACTACAAAAGTATGTGGCCAGTATGTCAGCACATATTGATAGGTCACTAAACCAGTTGAAACGTACAAGATGTACGAATATTCGTCTTTGGTGGAGCTATCAATTTAAAAGACCAAAAAATACTTACGTACCTACTACATTAGTAAGATTTATATGTTTTGTGTTTGATCTTAAGTCACCGAGTTGAAAATAGTACGCAGACTATTATGTAATTCGTAGTCTACCATTAAAACACATAACAACTTATAGTAGGTATTCTAAAATTAAAAGTCCGCTATAAGGAAAATGGATATAGTAACAGTTAATTGTGGGAATAAAGCCCATCATTGTAATAGTGGAAAGACTTAATATAATACCTTATATTTTTTTATACAACTTTAATGCACACAGTACAAAAAGTAACAGTTTTTGTACTGTATATATTTGGCGAACTTAACACCATGCGGTATTTTCTATAGAAAATATAATATAGGTTATATATATAACCTATGTTACATCTAAAAAAAAAGTTGGGTGTGCAAGTATAATCATAAAAAAATATATTATAAAAAAATTAAAACATATATATTTCTAAAATATATTATAGATCTAGCTTTTGAACCCTGCA